GTTTGCATATTCGAGATAGATATCGTTTATTTTTTCTTGAAAAGCTTGAAGAGTTGTTTCTAAGTTTACAAGCAAATTCACTTGTAAAAGTTTTCCCTGTTCAAATTTCTCATACGTACGTTTTTCTTTGTTATAGTATCGAACTTCAAAAGCGACCGTAAATGGGAAACCATGTATGGCTTCTGAAATGAACTTCATTCTACGAAAGCCAATAGCTTTTGTGACGGATGGGTCTCTTAGCCATCTTAACGGGTAGTCAAAACGATAGCCTTCATGCTTTACGGTCTCTGTCTCAAACTTTTGACCGACATTCGTAAAAAGTTCATCTAATGGTTTAGTTGTAGCAACTCTAGAATTTTCTTTTTCTATTGAAAGCATATTTTATCTAGAATAAAAATGTCAAATGAAACAGCGTCTATGAGAGAAATAAAACACAACCGACAACTCATTTTGCAAGCTCTAAATAAGAACACAACAAACTTTTCAAACTATTCTAAGATATCTGAGTCATTGAAAGAAGGAAACTTAAAACTGACGATAAACCCAATGACAGACGAGTTTCTATTTCAAGACAGTAAGAACCATACTGTCTGTATAAATCCAACAAAAGGAACTTTAAACGAGAAGCCTATAAAAGAACTTCTTTTGAAAGCAGATGTTGACAACAAAGCTGACAAAGAGTATGTCATTGAAAAAGTTCAAGAAGAACATGACAGAGCAGATGCAACATATGCAACAAAAGAACATACTCATCCTGAACTAGCAGACAAAACATATGTTGACAATAAAATGTCAAGTGAAGTGACAAGAGCTGAAAACGAATATTCTAAAAAGACTCATACACATACTATATCTGAAATAACAAACTTACAAGAAACCTTAAACAGGAAAAGTGACGTTGGACATACACATACTATATCTGAAATAACAAACTTACAAGAAACCTTAAACAGGAAAAGTGACGTTGGACATACACATACCATTGCAAATATTGCAAACTTACAAGAAACCTTAAACAGGAAAAGTGACGTTGGACATACACATACCATTGCAAATATTACAAACTTACAAGAAACCTTAAACAGGAAAAGTGCCGTTGGACATACACATACATCTTCTGAAATAACAGACTTAAACGTTAGCCTTGAAAATAAAGCAGATAAAACATATGTCAATGAAATATACCAAAGTTTGCTAGGAACAAAAAATATTGAAACTATGGTTGGTGACTTTTCTGTCAATGAAGAAAACAAATATTTTAGATGGCAGTTGGTACAGTCCTTAGAAAATGGTACACGGTATAAACTCATTCCGAAAAATAACAATGAAATGTATGTAAGCTATAAAAAGAACGATGGTACACAAGTTAAAGTTCCATTAGACAACAACTGCTACTTAAACTTTATGGAGACGAACAAAAGAAATATTTAAGAGTTTATGAAATGACAGATATGACATTGCCTGACCCAGCTCCAGCACCATACTATTATGACTATGGAGATGACGTTAGAACACCACATGTAGATGAACAAAAGCTAACATTATATTTAGATTTTTATAGATATAAAAGATATAATGCAATAGAAAAAACGAGAATAGTATACTATTATGAAGATGACAGAAATAAATCTTATAGTCAAGACTTTACCCACCCTGAAAACATAAGATTATATTATAAAAAATATTCTGACTTAAACCAGAAGAAACCTGAAATAGTTGCACTATATTTTAAGTTCAAAAGAGACAATCCTATAATATCTCATATGTTTGATTTAATGAACCCAGTAGGTTCTATTTATACATCTATGGAAGCAAGAGGTCCTCAAGTAATGTTTGGTGTTGGTGCATGGAACAAATAGTCGACAGGTTTTGTATTGTGCAAACTCTTCAAAGGAAACAGGTGGAAGTAAAACGATTTCAGGTGAAAAACTTACCTGCGCACAGTCACTACATAGATTTAAGTACATCTCAAGCAGGTTGGCATAGGCATAGATATTGGGATTGGTCAGGAATGACAAAAGGTAAAGGATATGATGTTAAAGACGACGTTAAGTTTGCTATAAATTGTTACTGGGATGACACTCAGGGAGAAGGAAACCATACACATTTCGTTTCAGGGTATACACAAACAACGGGACAAAGAAAGACTACATGCCACCTTACATGACAGTTTACGCATGGTATAGAATTGCTTAGTCGTCATTTTCAACTTCTTTAGCATATTCGTCAGGAGTTGTCTTATATTTGTTAGGAACTGTCTTTGAAAGTATACCACCTTGAACTTTGACAAGTTTGAAACGAGGTCTGACAATAGTAGTTTTATCTTCTGCTTGCAGTCTGTACATTTTGCCATGTTTGCCTAAAACTTCATAATATTCTCTTGTATACTTTCTTCTATTTTACGAACACGAAGGTGAGTACCTGTCGGGTTCCCATTGTTGTCATAGTCAATAGTATTTTCATGGTCGCGTTTAGGTATTTCTATTTTTACTTTGTCACCTTTCTTAAGTTTGAAGCCTGGCATTCTTTCTTGTTTGTCTCTTTTGACTAAACTATTAAATATATAGTCTTTCTCTAAGTCAGGGTTGTTTTTCATTTCTTCGGGGGAGTGGTTTCCCAAACCTTTTTGTTTACGGTTATTGTAAATATTTAAAACTTGTCTCATCTTTGCCATGGAGAAATGTCTATATTTGTCGTCATATGACATTTCATTTGCTTCACCACCTTGTGGTTGGTTTAAGTCTCTTAAGATTTTTATACAACTGTCAATGACACCAAGAGCAGAATGGTTTTGGTCGACAATGAAATATTGGTTTACATTTTTTGAACGCAGATAGTTTTTAATATCGTCTGATTTGAAAGAACGTTCACAGTCAGATGTCAGTTTTGTTGGATGGTATTTGTCAACGAAGATTGTCAAAGCAGTTTTCACATCTAAAATATTTTTGGACTGTAATGGTATGGCTTCACAGTATCTTGTGTTTTGACCGACAAATATTAGCCAGTATGGTGGTCCATCTTCTCTATACCTCGGAATGTTTTCCAAGATATCCATAAACCAAGCATTTGGTGTTGAACTAAAGATTTTTACCATGAGTGCTTTCTTTGTTGCCTTAGAAACATAGGGGTCCTTGTTTGGATTCGTCATTTTTATCCTATAAGAAATGGGTTTATTTGGCGCATTAGCAGGAGTTGCATCCAGATTTTTGCCCGCAGTGGGAACAATAGCCAGAGGTGCATTTGGAATTGGAAGGAAGATTTTGAGTACATTAGGTATACTTAAAGAGAAAGCACAACCTATTATACAAACTGTACAGAAAGGTTGGGAGGTAGCACGAGATGCAGCAAATCTTATTCCAAATCCTGAAACAAGAGGAAAAGTTCAAGGATGGATGGACAATGTAGGAAGAGAAGCAGGAAACTACTATAACAAAGCAAATGACTACTATAACCAAGCAGGGCACTATATGGACCAAGGTGAAAGATTCTTTAACAGAGGATATAACCATGCACAACAGTGGGTAAACAATAACCAACCGCAACCAACCTCAAAGTTGGGAATGTAAAGTTTTTTACTGAGATGAAATGAACAATACAGCATTGAGACAAATGGGTTCAAGATGGATTTGTCGGCTTCCAGCAGTTACACAACCACGTGTTTGTCAAGTTCTTCCTATACCTCAGGAAGTTTTAGACCGACTTAAAAAACCTAAACAACCAGTTGAAAACAAAACAAACTAAAATTTTTTACTGAGATGAAATGACCGAAGAAGTTGAAACGGTAGATTTGACACCACAAACAAAAAGTTCAGAACCATTGTCAAAACCTGTCAAAGAACTTACAGATGAAGAGAAAAATTCAATAATAGAAAGTGCCAGGTCTGGAAATACAAACCCTAACTACAAAGTCACTTTTCATAGAAATGGAACGGCTAGTATCTCAAAAAAGAAACAGACTCTCACAAATAAAATATTGAAGTCTGAAGGAGCTTTCGAGACAACAGATGGAAAAGTTTACTTCACTGACCAACAGTTCATTATAGAACATCTCATTGACTTAGAGTCGAAATATTCTAAACTTTACAACAAACACAAAAAGTTGAAAGGAAAACAAAAACAAATGGCATATGATATTTATGAAGATACTAACGACACAACCATACCTGCAAGTGAGGTAAAGTCAGAGGAACCGAAAAGTGACGAAAAACCAATAGAAGAAGGGAAGCCAAAAACTGAAGATAAACCAAAACCAAAGTTTAGTCAACCTTCATTAGCTGGTATGGGTTGGCGTCAAAGACTTATGGCAGCAGGCGGTTATGTAAAGTAAAGAAAAAATATATTTTTCAAAAAAAATATTTTTTTATTTTATTTGAAATGTACGCTGAGTTTGTTGGAACAGACCGTTGGGAAACTTGTTTGTTAGATGAGAAATATGAAATTCACTGTTGTGAGTCATTTGAAGTCAGAAACAAAAAGACAAAAAGAGTTTTAAGCGAATGTGAGCGAAATAACGGATATGCTATGATGAGTATGAGTGGAAAAAAATATTTTAAACATATTGTCATTGCAACTCATTTTATACCGAACCCTAACAATTTACCTCTTGTAGACCACATAAACCGTATAAGAAACGACAATAGACTTGAAAACTTACGCTGGGTCACTTGTTCTGAAAACAGTAAGAACATAGGCAAATTTGGAGATATTGTATTCGAATTTGTCGACGAACTAGAAGATGAAACAATTGAAATTACAGACTATGGTAAGCATACGTTTGAGTTTTACTACTATAGCGAAGAACAAGACTCTTTCTACTTTTATACCGGCGTAAGCTATAGGAAATTACAAGTATGTTTTACTAAGGAAGGCTATGCTTATGTAAACACTAGAGATACAGATGGAAAAAACGTTAAAATATTTCTTAACAAATTCAAGAAGCTATATGGCATACCATTTTAAAACAGTATATTTTTATTTTTATAAAAATGCCCCCATATAGAATGGATAGAAAATCTGCTAGAATAAAAGCAGAGTTAGAAAGATATGGTTGGAAAGTTTCAAAGAATTTTAAATATAGGAAGGGAAGACCCATAAAAGTCTATGACAAACTGGCTGGTCTTCGCTACGAGATGGACTTGGAAACAGCGCGCGCCAATTATCCAAACAGACTAGAGAGGTTAGAAGAAGAACGTCTTATGAACTTGCCTTTCAATGTTAACGAGCCGCAAGTTGAAGGACACGACGGCTTTGCCAGATTCTACTGGAAACATGACGAACAATTGCATCCTTTGAGAAGGAAAAAAGGGAAGGGTGAAGACAAACATGCTCCCATGGAAAGAACAAGATATGCATATGAAAAGTATCGTGAAGTTAGAAGTCAAATTACATCTGGTCGAACCTTTACAGTAAACTTTGACGAAGGAAAGAACAAAGAAGGCTTCATGGGAGTACTTGCTGCCATACAAGACGGAAATAAGAAAGGATACAATCTCAGACTAACCATAACAGATTTGGACGGTCACATTTACTATGCAAATGGCAATGAACAAACAGCTGCAAAACTTCTTGACGCTTTCAAGACTACAAAGAGAGAACAAATGGTTGACTCCGACTCAGACATTTTGAATGCAATTGAAGGAATTGCAAGTGTCAAGTTCGAATGGTACCAACCTAACCCTCAAGCAGTCAGACAACATGCTGGATACTTCCCCTTCATAAATAAGTCTGACATTGACTTGACAAGGTATGGAATTTACAATTCAATTGAAACAATTGTCAATGAACCTTGCATTCTTACATGTCTCAGGAACTCTGGTCTTGTTACAGATGAGAAGATGAAGTATCTTGAGTCATGTGTGAAGACAAGGTACATTCTCAGAGGTCAATTGGCAAAAATTGCACCGTTGGCAAATGTCAATATCCGAGTCAACATTCCGACTGAGAAAGGTTCTTCACACGACGACTATGTTGTTGACTTCAAATTACCATGGTTGAAGATTGTAATTGTCCACAACCACTTCATGTTGAACGAAAGTCTTACAAACCCATTGTTCGGAAAAGGCAAGTGCAACATTGTCAGAGCTGTAAACATTCTTTTCGAGAAAGGTTTGTTGGAACCAATTCCAGATGACAAGCTGACAGAAACTTTTGTACCAAAAGATGAAACAAACTTTTCATTGTTGGTAAGACCAAAAGTTGTTCCAGACAAAGTTATAGCACAAAAGAAGTACACTGTTCCAAAAGGAGTTGGATTGTTCGGATACCAACCTGAACCAGAAGAACTTCCAATGAGGTTGCAAGAACTTCAAGATGCTATAAACAAACTTCCATTGAGACATCCAATTGACGTCAAATTGTATTGGAGAGCATCGGAGTTAGGTCAGAAGGTTTTATATGAAACAGGTTGCTTCGACGATGTTTATGAGATAACAGGAGAAGTTTCTCAGAAGATAAGAGACTCACTTGAATTTCCACGAACTGGACCCATTGGTTGCGACAAGTTCGACTCAGATGAAAAGATATACTATGTCGACCTTAACGCTGCGTACATGAGGTTCGTCCAATATATTCCAACTGGAATTCCAAACGAAGATGGTGAGTTCCCAGGAAGGAACTATACAGTTGGAAAAGTCATACAACAACTGTATGATATTAGGAAAGCTTCAAACCCCAAACTTGCAATGACACTCAAATTGCTTATGAATTCGACATGGGGATATTCCATTAAGAAACCTCAAGAGATGAAGAGTAAACATTATGAGAAGGTCGACAACTTTGTTGAAAGGTTTTCTCCTTTTGTTTTGAAGTACGAATTCACTCAAGGTCAAAGTGGCTTAGTAACCACATTAAAACCTATTGTCGAACATTGGTCCTATCCTCAGTTCGCAAAGGCAGTCCTTGACAACTACAACAAATTCTTCTCCGAAGTCAAATCCAAAGTGAAGGTTTACTATGAGAACATTGACGCACTCATGACGAACGAAGAAGGATACAACAAACTCATTGAAATGGGAATGGTCGGTGAAAAGATGGGTCAATTCAAATTGGACAAAATTTTCACCGAAGTTCATGTCCTCTCCAAGCGTAAGTACTGGGGTGTTAAAGAAGATGGCACAGAAATAAAACATTGCATGAAATAAAAAATTTTTATATTCCTTCCTAGCTAATTTCCGTTTAATTTCATGGTCGCCCTCGGAGTCTTTGAATCGGACAGGTCGAGTTACACCATTCTTGGTCTCAAACTCATATATAACCTGTTTGTTTGTATTTGAATTGGAATTCCAGTCGAAGTCTCGAGATTCAAGGCAGCCCTTCCAGAAATAGTGGTGAACTTGACCTTGGGCTTCATGACCTTGCGCAAGTAGTCTTTTACGCAGTCGTTAATTTAAATTAGGTAAATTGCCTCATCTAATGGCTCGATGTTGTCCATTGCTACTGTCAGTAAAAGTACTGCTACTGTCAGAAAAAGTACTGCTACTGTCAGTAAAAGTACTGCTACTGTCAGTAAAAGTACTGCTACTGTCAGTAAAAGTACTGCTACTGTCAGAAAAAGTACTGCTACTGTCAGTAAAAGTACTGCTACTGTCAGTAAAAGTACTGCTACTGTCAGTAAAAGTACTGCTACTGTCAGAAAAAGTACTGCTACTGTCAGTAAAAGTACTGCTACGAGCAGTAAAAAGGAAAATTTGAGAGGGTTTTCGACGATAAAGTACTGCTACTGTCAGAAAAAGTACTGCTACTGTCAGAAAAAGTACTGCTACTGTCAGAAAAAGTACTGCTACTGTCAGTAAAAGTACTGCTACTGTCAGTAGCAGTACTGCTAGGAGCAGAGATTTTTATCGTTGTGGTCCGACGGTTAAGCCACAAACGAATGTCCGACGTCCCACCAACCGAGTCCAATCTCAATCCAGAAGAACCTAAAGAACCACAACAGTCTCCTCAGCAACCTCAGTTCCAGCAAGTACCTCCGAATTTCTACCAATTCCAATCTCAATCCAAATCGAAGAGAGACCAAGAGTTCGAAGAAGGTCTGAACCGCTTACGCAAAGAGTATGCTACAGCTCCAATTGAGAGAAAGTTGTTGCTAAATTCAGTAAAAATACTTTTAGGGTAGAAGGTTAGATCTAACCTGTCTTCTACCCTCTTTTCTACCCTCTTGAATTTGTCATGAATTTTGTGCTGAATTCGACAAAAATGAGTTTTGGTTGAAAGAATACGGTGGAGCCAAAAGTGGCTCGACCTCAAAACAAGCATTTTGTGAAGAATATACCAACCCGCGGAAAACAGCGGGTTGCTTTTTATACAAAATTCATGCAGGAATTCCTGATGAAATCAAACAGGTTAGAGGAACGTATGTAGACCCAAGACTTGTAAACTATATAGCAATGTGGGCTTCTCCAAAATATTGTATAGCAGTTGGAAAAATTCTGGACTCCATAGACAAGAAAGTTCATGAGAAATTAGATGAAGAAGAACTTGAAGATACAGTAGAGAATGCTAAACCTTTGTTCGAAGAAGAAGTTAGAAAAATGCATGAAAAACAAATAGAACATGAACGTGAGATATGTTCTGGTTATAGAGACTCGCCATACGAACTAGACCAATGGGAACAAGAAGATTTAAAGAGAGAATTTAGAGAATATGAACTCGCTAAGATAGCATTAGAAGCTGCAGAAAAGAAGTTAAAAGTTTGGGGTCGTTTTGTACAAAAATATTGTGAGTAAATGAACCATTTTGTTGCTGAATTCAATAAAAATATATTTTAGGGTAGATGGTTAGATCTAACCTGTCTTCTACCCTCTTTTCTACCCTCTTGAATTTTCATGAATTTCATCGTAAATGTTTTGTCATGAATTTCATCGTAAATGTTTTGTCATGATTTCATCGTAAATGTTTTGTCAAGACTTCTTCGTACATGTTTTCTAACCTCATGAGTTTTCCCGAAATAAAAAATAAAGTTGGTTTTTTTAAAAAAATATTTTTTTATTTTTATTGTAAGAACATGTTAGCAACAACAGCACCAAACTCGTTAGTCATGAACCCAACTTCAATGTTAGTAGAGATGAAAAGCTTCATTCCTTCTTCATATACTTTCGAAACAGAAATCCAGAAGATAAAGCAAGAACTTTTAACAAGTACTTTGGACTGTTGTGCGAAAGATGAAACAAATGAACAGTATCTTTATGACATGCAGGACCTCATCGACCATTTACCCAAATTGCCTGAAATCCAACAACAAAAGCTTACTATTCCAGAATTCGATGAAATAGAAGTCAAAGCAACTGACTCAGTAGAAATAAAGAAGTTCATACGAAAGGTTAACTATGAGTTTCTTGGATTTCATTGCAACCACAAAGTCATGGACAAAGATTGCGATATGGTATATAAGAACATCTCTGACATATACAAATCTGGGGAGTTTAAGACCTACGACAACTTTGTTTCGTTAGTTGCAAAATGTGTATGGCAGATAAGAGATAAAGATAGAAGAGGTAAGATATGGAATGAACAGATAAAACCCGCAACTTTTGAGTTAAAGAGAGCAATTGACGCCTTAGTCATACTAGCAGGTAAGATTTCAATGTACAATGCTAAAATGAACCCACAATGTTCTAAATGTAAAGCAGCAATGAGGAAATATAACTACTCCGTCAAAGAGATAGAACGTATGAGAAACGACTATGCAGACTTAAAGACAGAAATGTCAAACAATGAGTTTGAAACAGTTGGAAAGATAGACAATGACACCAAAGTGGTTAGAATAGGTGATTTAAACGTAAGATACTCAAAGAAATACAACAAATATTCTTTGTCAGACATTTTATCTCCATCTGGAAAGAAAGCAAAGGACTGGGTTAGAATTGCTTCTACTCAGAAAATTTTGACAAGAAATCCTGAGCTTATGATATCGGTAAGATTCTATGGAACTACAGCATATCTTATAGACAAAAGTCTTATACCAATAGTTTTGTTATGGATTGACCCAGTTGTTGGATATAACTTCATAACATATGGTTTATTCGACTCAGAACGTTGCAGTGAAGGCTTACTTTACATCGTTCAGAAACCGAAGGACTTCAACACAAAAAGATATAAGATAGGAAGGACATATAATATAACTCTAAGATATGACAGTACAGTCAATAGAGTCAAGGTTGTGTTAGTTAACGATATGAGAGCTGCTGAAACAGAACTACTTGAAAAGTTTGAGAAAATGTATGGTGCTCCCATAAAAGGTAAAGAAACGTTTGAAGTAGATGAGATAGATAAAGCAATAAAATTATTTGACGAAGTTGCTGAAAAATACATGTAAAAATAACGTTTACCATGTAAAACGCTTATAAAATAACTGGGTAGAAAAGAGGGTAGAAGACAGGTTAGATCTAACCTTCTACCCTAAAATATATTTTTGCTGAATTCAGCACAAAAATCTGAGTAAAATGGCATAAGATTGCTTACCATGTAAAACCGAGAGAAGAGATTCCGTACGAAAACAGTGAAGCACAGCGAGTAGGTAAGAAAACGTAGTCGCCAAAACTCTATGAAAATCGTGAAAATTCTCTAGACCGTTTTTTTCCCTACTCGCCAAAACTCTATGAAAATCGTGAATTTCCTTAAGATAGAAAAAATAACGCTAATTTTTTATAAAATATTTTTTTTATTTTGTATGTAAAGACAGATATGTCAACAACAGAGAACACAACAACAGTTATAGTCCATGAAGCTATAAATGAAGAATATGAGTGGGTTCAGTTTAACAAACAACTCCGTCTCATTCGTTCGGTCAAAGACGATATGTACCAAATGCAAAGTATTTTGACAGCATGTGCTACACCAGATACTAAGAAACCACAAGACTGGTTTGAATTAAATAGCACTCATGAACTCCTCAGTGAGTTTGAACATGTAGAACTTAAAAAGATGTACCAAGACAGACAAAACTTACCATCACATCTAAAAGGTATATATGTTCATAAGTTCCTAGTTAGTTCAATAGCAATGTGGGCTTCACCTCGTTATGCAATCTACATACTTATGCTACTTGACGAACTTTGTACAAAGCAGAGAGAAGATATGATGAAAGAAGACAAAAACATACAGAAAAGAATACCACGTTCGGTACCAAAAGGAAAGGAAAAGAACTATAAGTATATGATTACACTGAAGAGATGGAAATGAAGAAGACAGAGATATGGTTATGTTGCATTTAGTCAGAAGAAACAACAAAAGCTTTTACGACCTTGCTAAGATTTACAAATCTGACAGAAATTGGTTCTATCGCGAAAACTTACCGATTTCAATGACACCGAATGAAGATGTGAAACAAATAGTTCAAGATACGTTACCTCAAACACACTATGATATGAAAGGTTGTACAATACTTACCTTCAAAGAAGATTTGCCATTACTGAAAGAAAAGATAACAGAGTATTTTGACAACTTCAAACAAGTAGAGTAAATTGCACTCTTTATTTTTACGCTTGACACCAAAGATGGCTCAGGTAGCTCTATAAAGTAAATTGTCTTGTCAAATCCTTCTGGCATTCCGAGTCCTTCCATCTGGCATTCCGAGTCCTTCCTTCTGGCATTCCGAGTCCTTCCTTCCGACAAGAAAAAAATTTCCCGACAACTGGAAAAAATTTTCCCGACAACTGGAAAAAAATTTCCTGTTGTTCGTCCGTAAACCATTCAAATTTTGAAATTGAGAACTTTTTGGTCGAACGACAGAAAAAATTTTCCTTCCGACAGGAAAAAAATTTCTTGACAACAGGAAAATATTTTCCCGACAACTGGAAGAACTCTTCCTTCCGACAGGACACAAACGAATGTCCGACGTACCACCAACCGAGTCCATTCCAAAGCCAGAAGAACCGACAGCCCCAGCACCACAACAGACTAAGACTCAACACTTACATTTTTCAAGCTTGACTTTTTACAATTTGAACTTTGTTCGCGTAGATGTGAATTCTGAAAGAAGTATGAGGGTCTTGTATGACTTTGTACTTCTCCATAGTTCATGTCTGTCAAACTTACCTGCCTGGACTCTTTCATAAAGTTCCATGAAATCGTCTTCGGACAATCCAGGGAAAAGTATGATATCAGTAAGTATTCTTTTAACATCCTTACTTAAACTCTTGGCTGTCTGTACACAAATGACAACTGAAATGTTAAAGTGTCTGAGCTTCTTAAGAATTCGACACATGTCTTGTTCTCTATTCTTTAACAAAGGATGAGAAGCAAAGTCATCTAAGATAAGAAGACATCTGTGAGGGTATGTCTTCCAATCGTAAGATTGCAATTTCTTCGAAATGTATTCTATCTCTTTCTGTTTGTTTCTGAAGTGTTTCTTCTCTAATATTCTCTGCATTTCCTCATTTGGGTCTTTAAACTTCGAATTGACATACTCATTTATAGCATTGTACTTCAAAACTCTTCTTTGGTACTTCTTTATCCAATCTAACAACTCAGAGTCTTTTATACATACTAACTTAGACTTCTTTATAATATCTTTGAACGAATTGACGGTTTGGTCAAATTGACCAGAAGTACTACAAATGACTACTAACTCATAGAATGGGTTCTTCTCATCTAGTTCTTGTTGTTGTGCAGCCATTTTAAGATAAGTGAAAGTCTTACCCGACCCAGGTGGTGCAATTAGACCTGTTTATACCATTCTGAGCAAATAAGAACTTGTCATGTATGGTTTTATCTGAGCATTTTTCCCAACTTCCTCTTGTTCTTATTTAAAACATTCTCAAATTTCTTGTCAATGTCAGCAAACTTTTTTCTAACATATTTTTAGAAAAATTAAAATTTTTATCTTTTTGAAAATGTCTAGCGATTCGCTATCTATATTCGAGACAAACTTTTCGACAGCAAAACTTCTGTCGACCATAAAATCTTACATAGTGTAAACAAGAAAGGTGAATTTGTTCTAAAGTTCTGTTTCTGGGAATATGACAAGAACCATAAACATTAGGCAGAGAAAGTCTTAAAATTTGTCAATGACAGACTTGTTGACAGAGATGACGCCCGATTGGAAAGATGAAGTCCAACAAAAGTTCTTAGAATGCAAAGAAGACACATGCGCTGTTCTGTGAAGATGAAATAGGAAACAGAATAGAAGAGCTATTAAAGGACAAAGAACTTTTACATAAATATGGTTGCGCCAAATTTGACATAACTCCACCAGAGAAGAAGAAGAAGAAGAGAGAAAAGAAAGAAAAGAAAGTAGAAGAAGAGAAAAAAGAACCTGAACCAGTTCCAGAGAAAAAGAAATTTGACATGTAAAAATAAAATTTTATTTTTAAACATTTCTGGGTCAATGTCAATGTTCTCTTCCTCTTTAGGAGCAAACACTGGCTTAGACTCTAAAATCTTTTTACCCAATTTACCTTGAACTTCAAACTATCTTAGACTATATTTCATAGTCGTCTGCTTTCTTTGGTTCATAAGGTATAACAAGTTTGTATGCTTTGCCTTCTTTAAGGTTTGAGAACCTTCTGTCAAAATTTTCTTTGACTGCTAACAAACCTTCTATGTCTAAGTCTTCAAATTTCGCACCATTTTTAGTCACAATAGCAAACTTAACTGGTTCGATGTTCCAAACTTTGTCAAATGTAGACTTTTCAAAATGGTAGAAGTAAACATTCAAATAAGCGAATGGGTCTAGTTCTTCTTTGACTTCTGTCATGTACTTGTTGACTGAAATTATTTCGTCATCTTTTCTTATCGGATAAAAAAAATATTTTTTTTAAATTTACTCAGAAAAATTTTTCTTTGTATATACGCCGTTCTGAACATCTAAAAGATTTTTGACATTTGCCAAGAATGTACGTTTAGAAGCTGCCATATAACCATACTCTTGACAATATTGTTTATATGAATCGTACAATGACCTTTCATCTAAACACTCAAAGTTAGTCTCATCTATAAACAGTTCATATACACTCTTGTTTGCTTCTAACAACGTTTGTCTTTCTTCGGTATGTGGAATTTGTCTTGGATTGAACTTAGAAATATCTAATGTCATGAAATATGAGAACAAGTGGTTGTAAAAGTCAGGTGTCAAAGTTTCTGCTAAGTCGTCAAAATATTCTGTATCTTGCATATGAGAATCTGACGTTCTGACAACTACATATCTTCTGTCAGAACTTTCTAACTTCATCGGAACAGTATTGTTTGAAACCATGATGAAATTTGCAACATTTTCACAAACTCTTTGGTCTTTATATTTTCTTTCAACAACTCCAACTTTGTCTGTTATAAGACTCTTCAAAGCATCTGAGTTTAAAACCTTTGTTGTATCTATACTTTGAAGTTCGTTACATACTATAAGTTTCATATTCTCAATTGAAGAGTTAAATTTACCGCAGATGTTTTCTAAGTTTGTCATATTAGGGTTCGAATAACCTTCTAACAGTTTGCACAAAATATCTGTAAAGAAAGTATTCTTACCAGTTCCTTGTTTTCCAATTATAATGAGAGCAGTTTCATTTTTAGCACTTGGATGTTGTAAGATGTTTGCAAACCAACATAAGATATACTCATAAACCTTTTCGTTTCCATTGCATATAATTTCTTTGACATGGTCTAACCAAGCTTCTATAATATTTTCTTTCCATTCTACTTGTTCATATTTATATCCAGTGAAGATAGAATAGAAGTTTGGAGAAGGTGATAGAACTTTATACCACGAACTGAAAAATCTTCAAGTTTTGACAATAAGATATCCCAAGCATCTAACATCTTCATTCCAACTTGTACGACTTTTATTTTCTTAAGTTTCTGTCTACATTCTTGTTCTGAAACTATTGTTGCTCTTGGTTTGTTAAAGACAACATCCCATTCTTTCATGACATAACATTCTGGGGCAGAGTCAACATAAATGACTAAACGTTTCAAATTCTCGACTGCTTTGTTATAGTCTCTAAATGGACACATATTTCTGAACGCTTGGAAGTCATAAAAATCTGAAACATCTATTCTGTACATTTTATAAAAATAAAAAAAATATTTTTTTATTCTTGACTTTGTTGTTGCATTTGTTCCATTTGTTGCATTTGTTGTTCTTGAGCTATTTGTTGTTGAAGTTGTTCTTGTAATACAATACTTTCACCAGTTGCATCTTCCAATTCGAAACTTTCTGCCGTCATTGACAAATACATAGGACATAAAAGTTTTACAGGAACAAAGTTTGCGTCAACTAAGGTTAAGTTTATGTTTGCTAAAGTGTTTGAGTTTACTAAAGCTTGAAAACTCTGCATTCGAATGAACAATAGGCAAACCAGCAGAGAAAGTGTTGTTTATACGCATGAGTATCTTTTGGTCATAGTAGTTTCTGTCGACATTCGAATAACACTTTGAACCTAAGTTTGAAACAATATATAAGATTGGTGTACTTAAAGTCAATGGAACAGACATTCCTTGTATGACACCTTTTCCTGTTATAGGAAACTGTTGGTAGTAAAAACCAGATATAAGTTTTGTATTATAGCTCATATCGTTTATAGTAAACTCAGTCGGACATCCAAACATAATGAAACCTGCTCTAGTTGCAGCACATGTTACATCCGTCCTTAAAGTATTAAATAAGTCAACAAAACCTGTTGGTGGTATATCTGAGTAAGTATCTTCAAAGAAGTATTTTTTACCATTCCACAACAAAGTCTTCTGGTGTCAAAAGAGCAAAAACAGGCTTTAGTCGTCATTGTGTTTAAGGTTAGTTTACAATATCGTCCTTGAGGACTTTGTAAGTTTGTTGTTATAGAATTATATGACTCAGGGTTTTTTAGTCGTAAATAGTATAAACATTATATCTTCTGCCATTTACTTAGCAAATAAACTTTTAATGAAATGTTGTGGTCGTCAAATATTTTTTGACGTCTGGGAAACTATACTTTAAGTTCAACGTTTCACCTCCTTTCATAACGTATATCTTGTCAATGACATTATATGAAACACCACAGCAACTAACGTCGGGTTCTATTTCTTGATGTTTATATCGTCTGCCTCTGTCAAAAGTTTCAATAGTTCTTTCAAAAATTTCATGAGGTGCGATGACATATGAGTTCACTTTTACAGGGTTGTGCTCACCAAGTTTAACATTATACCAAAGCTTGACAAATCTTCTCCTGAGTTTTTAAGTTTGTCTTTAAGTTGTTGGTAGTCGTTTCGAATATCTGCAACAGAATTAAGTCTCTGCTAACTTCAGGATATGTTGGTTGTTCTTTTACAGGAACAATTGTTATACCATCTTGGTCTTCGTATGGTTTCCCCATTTCAACATCTCTTTCTTTGACATTGACAATAACACTTTGACTGTTTGTTTGAGTTGGTGAATTTAACTTCACATCTGCCACCGCCATTAAACCTTTTGAAACACTTACGCTTCTATTTTTCGGAAATGACATTTTACTTAGAATAAAAAGATGGACGTATTTGAGTATCTCTTCGAATTGAAGAGAACAAAGTTTACACACACAAACAATACAATACATTGACAGAATAGTTCTTTATACAAACAATGGTAAATGTTATAGAATAGCAGTCTTTGCTGAACCAAAATATTTTCATAAAGCAAAGAAAGTTGGTATAACTGAAATGGTGAAAGTTCTTGAAGCAGACAAAATATAACAACAAAACTTACAGATATTTCTAAGGTAAGTTTATTCAATTTTATGTCAAAACTGGCGTACTGTCAATATTAAGAAGTTTACAAAACCAATAGCACTTTTCACGGAAGATGCTCTTTTGAAAATTCGTTCGATGAAACCTGCTGGGGCTCCTCAGATTGGTATAACGACAGCTTCCATCGAGCAATTTTGGCAGCAGGTCAGTAAGTTGTTCTTGAACTGACTTCTCTCCGTCA